TTATTTAATATCAAGAAACCAGAGGCCTAGAGAGGTTACACAATTCTGCTAGTGATTGGCAGAGCCAGGTTTGTCCAACTTTACCATCTAGCTGCTTTTCCAGTTTGGACACTCTGAATAATATTAAAAGGCAGATGACAAACCAGAGGTAAGTATTTCAACATTAATGAAATAAAAAAAGTCAAACACTAATGGAAAGATGAACACAGAAAAGGCACAAGCAATTCAGAAAAGAAAATACATTGATAACTATTAAGCAAATAAAAATGTTCACTCTTACCTAGTAATTAAATGCAAATTAATATAAGAAATCATTTCTCACCTATCAAATCAGCAAGGATTTTATTTACAATTATAAAGGGCTGGGCAAAAAAGTATTTTCCCTCTGGGTTTTTTCAATTTTCTTTTTAATAGAGATGGAGGTCTCACTATATTGCCTAGGCTGGTCTTGAACTCCTGAGCTCAAGTGATCCTCCTACCTCAGCCTCCCAAAGTGCTGGGATTACAGGTGTGAGCCACCACGCCTGGCCCTCTTTACACTTTTCATTCTTCAATTTTCATACAGCGTGCGGGAGTAATGTGAGGGCATTTGTAATACCATGGACCACAATCCTTAAAAGTGTATATCTCTTGCTATAATAATCCTCTTCCAAAAAATTATCCGAAATAACAATTTACGACGTGATAACACTGGTATAAACACCATATGTAGCTAATTCTATTTTTAGACGATTTTGCTCGTCCCCACTAGAAATAAAGTGGCGTGATCCATTCACTGCAACCTCCTGTCCCGGGCCAAGTGATTCTCCTGCCTCACCTCTAGATAGCGGATTACAGGGTGCGCCACGCACACTCGGCAACTTTTTGTTTTTTAGTAGAGACCAGGTTTGCCTGTGTGCCAGGCTGGTCGGGAACTCCCGACTGTCAAGGATCTACCCACCTTGGCCTCCCAAAGTGCTGACCATTACAGGTGTGAGCCACTTGGCCCTGTGTATATAACAGCTAGAAAAATTTGGGAACAGAAATAACATAGAAGACTAGCAGGGGTGTGGAACTG